TTTTGTGCACATTTTGGAACCCTAAACCACAGTTTGCATACAAAAATATGAATGATACCTAGAAATCTAGATTCTCTGTATGGCCAATCTCAGCTTAGGTGTCTGTTTTGATGGGCCAAATTTCCCATCTGTTGCTAGTAAAAGGATTATAAAATGATGGTGAACTTTTCGGCATGTATGCATCAAAAATTTGGAAAATGCTTGATTCTCCTGGTGCGTGTGTGTGGGTCTCCCACACCCACACACCTGAACAAGAGAGAAACCATTGTCCCTGTTCTTGGCCATCCTGAACATTGGCACTTGATGGCAAGGCTGGGCCTGAAGTAAAGGTCTGAGCCTTTACTTCAGCCCTAGTGCACAACTGCCCCTCAAATAGATCCCCTTGCACCCTTCCCCAAGGCACACACACCTTGGAGAATGATGTAATGGCCCCTGTGGCTCAGTGTTCCTCAGGATCTGCCATCTTACCATCAGGCGATGTTCTCTTTCTGTTGTCAGGCCCCTGCAGCCTACCTGAAGCTGCTCCAGGTCCCACAAGGCCTTCGTTCTTGAAGCAGCTTCAGAGAATGCTCTTCCACAGCCTCTGCAGCTTCCAAAAATTGTGCAAAAGCACAACACACCCCATTCCCATGTGATTTTCAGAGGCCACATGAGAACACACCCCATTCTCATTCAATCTCCACAGCCTTTGAAAATCACACAATAACGAGGCATGTTTTCAAAAACAGTTGTCAAGTGTTGAATGCTGACGTGTCACCCAAAATGTTGCGGCGTGTAACCTTTTAACACACAGGGTCATAGGTTGGCCATCACAGGACTAGGACTTAAGTCTGTGTGGTATAATGTAAGAACTGATGACAGGGTACTTGATCACCTGCTGATGTATTTCTTTGATTCCATGGTTATGGACTTCCCAAGTATTGAAGGATAGAGTCTGTAAGATATTTCTTAAGTTATAGTTGGTAGCTTTTTATTTTCTCCCCTTAACATATGGAATGTTGTAATGCTGCTTAAAAGAAACCCAAAAGACAATGAGTATCCTAATTTTATCCATACAATACACTTGTATGCTTTGATTTAGTCAGTGCTTTCTCTTTATCAGCAATTTCCTTATTGCCCTACCAGTCTGAGCTCGCATTGTGGAACTGAAATAAGCACATCAGCTATAGACATACCCTCATAGCATTTGCTATTGAAGCAGTTCAATTGCCTTTGCCTTGGTCCCCTCCTTCATAGCTTTCCCCACACATTGTCCCTCGGCCATAACACATACTGAATAATCAGAGAATACAGGGAAATGAGTAATTTTCCAAAACAATCTCAGAATTATACTCCTTGTTCTAAAAGGGAAACAAAGCCAGGAAGAGTAAGGTAGCAACGTACAAAGGGTTGTTTGTAAAGTGAGTAACACTCTTTTCTTGGAATATTTTCAGCAAAATTCCTTTGTCTATAACCACTGAAATCAGTGGCAGTCTCTTTACTGGAAAAGATAAAATAGTCTACATTGTAGAAATCCAAAGCCAAAAAGGCACTCAGGAATAAAGTAAAATATAGGATGGACTAAGAATGTACATTGTATAATAAAGTACCTGTATTTTTGGTGTAAGAACAAAAGGAAAGCAGCTGTGGACTGTAAGAAAGCCCCTTCACATTGTAATTGTTTCACATCTTGATGAAATAGAAATGATGGGCTTAAAATCCTCAGCATTCATATTAAAGTTGTCTTAAATATATAATTCAGATTTTAAGAAAGGGCATCTAGCTGAAACGTGAATCACTCAATGCTTTATGGCAGTGTCTTTCAAACTTGGCAAATTTAAAGTGTGTGGACTTTAACTCCTAGAATTCCTTAGCCAACATACAGGTAGTCCTCAATTTACAACAGTCCATTTAGTGACTGTTCAAAGTTACAATGGCTCTGAAAAAAACGTGACTTATGACCATTTTTCACTATTAGACCATTGCAGCATATGTCCCAGGGTCACGTGATCACCTTTTGCAACCTTCTGACAAGCAAAGTCAATGGGGAAGCCAGGTTCACTTAACCACCATGTTACTAACTTAACATCTGCAGTGGTTCACTTAACAACTGTAGCAAGAAAGGTCGTAAAATGGAGCAACATTCACTTAGCAATTATTTTGCTTAGAAATGGAAATTTGGAGCTCAATTGTAGTTAAGTTGAGGACTATCTGTACTTCTAAACTTAAGTGACATGCTTAAGCCATGAAAAGTGGACAAATGTTTTAGAAAGATGGATACCATAGGAAAATGTAATTCTATTTTAGATATTAGTGCAAGTGGAAAACTATCCCTTACATTTGTATTTTATATTCATTACAGGCAGAAATCTAGACTTGTAATGAAAAGCCAAATTATTTAGGTGAATAGTAGACTGAATTGCAGACTCAGTTGTCGCTATAATACACTTGACAAAAAGTTTAAATATCATCCATTCTTTCTCATATGGCTATGCTGTAACTTGATAGTACATGTATTAATTTCTGGTCTTCTTTTATGCTAACTTAACAGTACTTTCTGGGAGTAATCCTAAGAGGTAAGTATGGCACTTCTAACTAATTAATACTATAATTTTACACAATCGTATCAATATATAATATTTTGCTTTCGCTCTTTTTTTTACAGCTCTGAGAATGAGAATGGCAAAACTGGGGAAAAAAGTGATTTAAACAGCTGCAGTGATATAATACTCAAAGTCTGGCAGTTTAACAAAAGCAAAAGAAGAATTTTCTATGTTTTGGACCTGGGTAGCTTTTATTTACTCAACAATACATCCATAAGAATAATGGCACTTTACAGGAAAATGAATGTTTGCTAGTCCTGATATATGGATACCCTGATCCATAAATAAGTATTGTTAAAACAGTGTGTTCCTCAAGGAATAATTAGTGGCATTTCTTAGGAATTTGTCAGCCTTGTTATATTTTATAAGAGCTGAAGGGCCAGTGTCACAATACAAATGCATCTAGCATTTTGTTGAAGAAGTCTTATCCATCTTCTTCTCTTACTGACTATACCTAAACAGGAATATGGGATATGAACTGACTTTCCAATTCCTACTAAACTCTGTTCCATTTCAGCAGTGTTTTTCAAACCTGTCAAAAGCATTCTCCACGTGTTTGATTTTGGAAGCTGAAGAGCTCAAGCATAGCCAGCAGAAACTATGTCATTTACCAGCTCTTCACTGTAAGGAATAAGAGCTTTATTATGGCTGGTAGATAAAGCCATTAAAGCACCCCTAACATCCTCAATAGTAATGTATTCTGGAGAGGCAGCCACTTCTCATTTTCCTTGGAACACTGGAAAATGCCCCATTGTTTGGGAAATGGGGGCCACTCTATCCTTCATTTGCTTTCTGTATTCTGTATTCCTATCTGTGTTTATTGCTCATCTTTGGAATGTAGCCAGTAAGGCATCCTTGTGCAACAGTTTTTTTTGTTTGTTTCCTCTAGCTCTCTGATAAAACTTTGCTTTTGAGCTGGAATGTATACACCTCTCCCAATTTTTATACCAAAGCCTGCATTTATCATCACGGTATCTCAGTACGTAGATGAGGCACACATCATTACTCAGAAACTGGATTATTAAAAATTGATCTGGCCATTAGTAGCTAGATGCTTCTGAATGCAGCGTGGCCCAGAAATCAGAATGTTCGATCATGGTATTATGCAAGGCTTTCTAGTTTGATTGAGCCTATATATTTGGAGACAGTATTTCATATTTGCGTTCCAAAAAATACTCAGTGTAATTTAGGGCTTTTGTTAATATTATGTATTTTTAAAACATATTTCTCTTGGGAAGATTAGACTGCTATGGACAACTTCAACATGACTAGCTATGGCTATAAACCTAATCAAGAGCACCACATAGTGTCTCAATTGTAGAAATGTTATTTCAGTACTCAGCTGTGTATTTAAGAGTTCAATCTAAAAATACTTAAGAAGGCACTATGCATGTTCTATAGAAATGAAAATGGCTAATAAAAAGGCCAAAATGGAATTAAAATGCATTTATCTTGTGGGAAATATATGAACAATACATCATACACGAGACTATGAAGCTATCTTCCTCCCCAAAAGAAGTCAAAGGCTATTTAAAATACACTGCTACAAATTACTTTACATATTTTGAATATTTTCTATGTTACTCATATGTTCGTGATAAAAAATATGAGGAGGAAGAGGAAAACAATTTTTTTCCCAGAATTCTACTTATTCTGATTGCTCAGTGGATTTTATTTCAGATTTAGACTGTCTAGATGACCCTGTTTAGCTTATAGTTAGATCTCTCTTTACCTTTTTGGATTCTCAAGAGGAAGACACTTGTAGTTTTTAAAAGATGATCTCAAACTCTTCTGCCCGCCTGTTAAAAAGGGCTCAGAAATGCTTAGACCAGGGATGTCAAACTCACAACGTCACGTGACGTGTCGCAACTTTTTTGCGATTGCCGGCAATGGGAAGAGCGCAGTTTTGCTATGATGCATCCGGCCTATGGGCCGGCAGTTTGACACCCCTGGCTTAGACAGAAAAGTAAAAGTATTACTGCCAAAAGTGGTTGGAAATAATTTAGCCAATGAACTTCATTTTCTACTTTTTTTTTTTTAACTTTCTGGGCAGCTCCTCAAAAAATCTAGTCGGTGCACACAGGAGTATATAGCGAATCATTCACAAGACTGCTTCTAATTTTCTGATGGAAGCTGTGAACACCTTGCTAATAATTTCTGCATCTAAAAGCAAGGTTGGAACCAACATATTTCAAAATAACTAGAATCTTAGATGGGACCTTATGTCTTAAAGAGCAATCTCTTCTTTCCATTTCTAGACATCACCATTCTCACAAATTCGGTATTTTAATGTTATTAGTTTTCAGACACTGATTCATAGTCGATAGGTACAGTTGCTGCCTAGAGAAAAATCTCTAGCAAAATTACACTACACTACATAAACACTAAGTCATAGGAATTGGAGAAGACACGACAACATAACAGGTGAACAAACTCTTTATTGGCAAACATATTTGCAGCAAATAGTAATATGTCTAGAAGTTATAAAGAAATTCCCTTCAAAAACTGGGACAAGAATTTCATGCAATTAAAAATATTAAGTCATTGGTGTGCAATATACATCTATAAAACTACAGTGTTGCTGGTCACGAACATCATTTTTATGGAGCACAATAAGTAATGGAAATAGTCTGACACCAAAGAAGACTGAGTTGAAAGGTTTCTTTTTACTGGATCCTCTTTAGGATCAGAGTCAAAGAAATCTAGTAACTTGCATTGCTATTTCAAAATGTGGACAGAAATTTTACATTAACATTTTTAGCCTATTTCCATAGACAGCTCCATCTAATTCCTGACTTTTCCAAACCTAGCAGCATCACCTACATACATCTGACTTCTTCTCTAGAGGTTCTTCTAACCCTGTAGAACACCCCCCAGGGGTCTACAGCAGAAGGGTAGCCAATGGGTGGACACAATTAGAGGGCATCCTAACTTTAGCAACAATATATTAGACATCATTTATTAAATACATGCTAAAGAGGACAATATAGTACCTAGTTACTTTCAAGAGAAAGAGGTAGTCTACAAACATATTCAAGTGTTTAGAAGTGACAAGAAATAACAATGTTCAAACAATTGTCATCACTCTCGGAACAATACGTGTCATTGCACATCTCAATCTAAAAATCTTTAATAAATACTTCAAAAGAGTATTCTCCTCTTACAAACATCTTGAATTCAAAAAAATTCAAGAAAAAAAAAATTGTAAAAAAAAATGTCGGTACGTGGAGACGGGCTTCATAATACTGAAATAGTGATTATCTGTGTGTGGGAGGGAGGGAAGACAAAAGGTGTGAAACATGAGGCACATGCAGCAGCATCTTTGGTGCAGGTGGGGATGATGAACAAGCATTGCGATTGCAATGCAGTTATCTTTCGCATGTATGCACCTCACATTCAAAAGAGGTGGCTCTTTCATCATTATACTCTATCATCTGCGGACCACATGGTCACCAAAGACCACAATTTACCACAAGAAAAAAAATACTGCTGTGTGAAACATCAGCCACATCTGACAGGTATGTCCTGGAACCTGAGGAGCAAACTTTAGGTAAGTAAATGAACTAACAATTGTCCACTGGCTCATAATAAGATCCTCTCCTAGTTTTCAGGTAATAGATAAAGCTACAGAATACAAATGTACAACATTAAAGCAAGTAGTTAACTCGGGAAGAAGCCCAAGATAGATTCTTATCAAGACCAACAAAGTTTGCTCTTCAATGGCTGTGTGCTGAAAAGTTGTTTTCACATCTTAAAGACAAGTTTCGTTGACAGCTATGAAATCCCGCAAGAAGCTATTTTGAAGTGTAGTGGCAAACTCTTTAGAATAGTCAAGGCTTTTACGGAATCATACTTGCACAACTGCTGTGATGAAGGTGACAAGAAATGCTATGTTGCCACAAATGTAGATAAACAGCACTGCTTTTTTAAATGTATGGCCCTGGGGGAAGAAGAGGAGGAAAAGAAAAATTGAAGATGGTTACTAATTTATGAAATGATTAAACCACATCAGAAAAGGCCATGTCTACAATTATTCTTGATGGTAGAGGTAGAAGGGAAAGAGATAGTACTAGAAAGTTAACCTGTGGAAAAACAAGACTAGCATTTCAAGGATGATGAATTTAACAGAATCGTGTTAATGAAAAATCATCTGAAAACGAAAATCCTAGCCTAGTCATGATTCCCCAGAGGCTTCCCTTCCCCAAGGAGAAAAAATATTCCTATGCTCTAACCCTATTGTCTTAAAATATAGATTTTAGAAGGTGTTTCATTTTTTAAAAAAGTAGTTTGTCTTTCCATTCTCTCTACCACCTGACAAAGGGCTACGCTTACCTGGGCTTCTATAGAATTTATGGACTGCAATAATTGTATCCTGTCATCTTCCAACACCTCAACTGTAAAAGAGAAGTATAATTAAAGCTACTCTGGAGGAAAGCATTCTTCCTTTCACTCACATACATACAATCACCTTTTAAATCAGTGTTTCTCAACCTTGGCAACTCTAAGGTGCATGGAGTTCAACTCTCAGAATTCCCCAGCCAAAATAAAAGAAACATGTTATCCAAAAAGATAATTGTGTACATACAAACTGTACAACATACCAGATTCACTATAATATGACCACCCACCCATTCACTATACCAGGGGTAGGCAACCTTGGCTCTTTTATGACTCGTGGACTTCAACTCCCAGAATCCCTGAGCCAGCCATGCTGAGGGGAAAGGGAGAGGTTTCCAAGCTGAGCCATGCTGGCTCAGGAATTCTGGGAGTTGAAGTCCACGAGTCATAAAAGAGCCAACCCCTGCACTATACAATAAAAATCCATTTAATAGGACATGTTTGAAATTCATTATGTTTTTATGGAGAAGGGGAGATGTTTTCTTTCCCTTTTGTTGCATTTTAAGTTTCCCACTGGATGGGATCCAGGAGGTCAAACAAAAGCCTTCAGAGACAAATATAATGACAATTCCACCCTTCAGTCCTTTTCCAGATAGCTCTTTTTCTTCATTCCAATTTGCAATAGCTGCCCCTTCAAAATGCACATAAGGCATTTGAAGAAAAAAAATTTCCTGCCATTTGTTGCACTAAAAAAAATAAAATACTGGCCATACTTGCTGTGGATGCCTTCATCTGAAAAACTGGCATATTGCCTCATGTATAAGTCTCTATGGGCATGCATACACACAGATACATAATTACAGTTATTAAGTATGGCTATAGGAGAAAGAATACTCGTGGGCTTAACTGCAACTTGAAACCTGCCCTTTCTTAGCATGTCAATGAAAGGCATTCTGTACGGCATGCTTTGAATGTTAGCACAGTGCTATTTTCTGTATAGTAACTAGCTGTCCAAATGACACAGCATTATAGTTTTCTAGCAGGAGGGGTGAATTCGGATTTCTTTTTCACCTCCTCACTGAAAAGCAATCAGGATTCCAAAATGCCATTTTTCTCTGTTAATAGAAGCCAATCAATGAAATTCTCTTGGTCTATCTCAGGGGTGGGGAACCTTGGCTCTTTTATGGCTCGTGGACTTCAATTCCCAGAATTCCTGAGCCAGCCATGCTGAGGGGAAAGGGAGAGGTTTCCAAGCTGTGCCATGATGGCTCAGGAATTCTGAGAGTTGAAGTCCACAAGTCATAAAAGAGCCAAGGTTCCCCACCCCTGGCCTATCTGAATAGCAACATCACAAACTGGTGGAATTCCCTCCCTTGAGTTTTACATCTTGATTATTATGTTTTGCAAACACACAAGTTTCTAATCAAGAACAGATATTTTGTTCATATGCATAAAGTTTTGCACAGCAGAACCTCACCTTGCCAAAATTAACAATTTAGTACTTTAGTGTAAGAAGCGGTAAACATAACTCTTTGTGTTACAAGGCAACCAAACTCAAAGTACCACTCGTGATTAAAATATTGAGCTGCCTATTATTTCTAGGATTTCTATAGGAATGTGTCACAGGGAAAAGTGTATGAAGTAATCATGAATTCCAGAAAGCCAACCCCGCCCTGCCAAATTTTTTTTAAAAAAAGGGCAAAAAAAAAGTTCTTTTGCAACTTGATTATTCTCCGTGCAAACCTTTGCGGATGAGGCAGTAGCCATGTAACTCCAGAAGCACATCAATCCCAACATGCCAGGCTACAAATCCAATCATTGCGTAGGTATCCCATGAATCTGGAAGGTTGAGAGCTGGCAAGTTCATTCCCAGGAACATTGTTACCACTGGTTAAGAACAAGACCAAATTTAGATTCCTTTCTGAGGTATTCAAAATAAATACTGTAGATCAAAATATCCATTCAAATATTTTGTAAAGATGGAATTAGGGAGCATTGGAGTATACTTGCTTGTTTCTGTGGAGGAACTTTACATCAATAGGCTCTGAACACCAACATTTTTTTTACCACCTAGCCCACATAAAATCTTGGGAGCTTTTTGGGGCCTTCTCACAAACTGGATCCCACCATCCCATTTAACCTGCCAGGAATGTTCTACTATTTTGGCTTCTCTGTTTGAGACACTTGAACAGATTTATTTATTTGAGCTGTACCCCAATTTCTGCTCAGACACCGAGTCCCAGGCCTTTGCTATTTTTATTTTCTAAGAATATCTTTAAAGTATATGTGAGGCCCAGAAGCATTGCTGTAAATAAAGATTATTGCCTGGCAGCTTTATTTTGCAGGCTGCTAGCTTCCTATTCTTTAAATTATCTAAATGCACTATTGTACTATATTTTCACAGATATAGTCGGATTACAGCCAGAAGAACAAAATCGCATATATGCAGTGGTGGAATTCAAATACCTGAACAACTGTTTCTCTGCATGGATTTCACTTCCGGAAGTCCATTCTGGGTCTGGGCCTCCGAGGCCAAGAAACGGAATTCCAGAAGCGGCATCCACACACTTCCCACGGTCCATTCTGAGCCTGGGAGGCCTCCCTGGCTCAGAACGGACTTCTGGAAGTGGCATCCATGCACTTCCGGTGGGCCGTTCTGGGCCTGGGAGGCCTCCCCCAGGTCTCCAAGGCACAGAACAGAACCAGCTAGGGCTTCAGCCAGTTCGCCGAAGTCAACCAAAAATTAGCTACCAGTTATACCAAACAAATGTGAACCGGTTGAATCCCACCACTGCATGTATGCATTTCATACCACAGTAGCATTTTGCAATCCGGTGCCTGCTAGATATGTTGAATGCAACTCCCTGAATTCTGAGATTATGCTGAATGGAGATTAGTCAGAGAGTGGTCCGACGCATCTGGAAAGCAACAGATTACACTAGAGGAATTTCAAGAAGTCAACAGAGAGCAGAAAAGTGGCTTTTTCCTCTTAAGTGAAATGCAGCTATACACTGAAAAATTAAAACAGGAAACTCACCAGCTAATATTCTAGCAGTTGTGGCAGCACTCCAATGTAACCAGCTGAAATACTGCCTTCTGTCCCCAGAAAGAAAAGAAGAATTTATTTCTCATTTCAAGGGAGGGATGGAGGGAGGGAGGGAGGGAGGGAGGGAGGGAGGGAAGGAAGGAAGGAAGGAAGGAAGGAAGGAAGGAAGGAAGGAAGGAAGGAAGGAAGGAAGGAAGGAAGGAGAGCACAAATGTATTATGCATTTTCATTTAAACATTTATACAATCTGGAAAAAATAGAGTCTGCAGAAAATCTTTGCAAGTTTTCAGGGGCTAATTTCCTAAGATAAAAGATACAGATAAGATGCTTCCACAAGTGTCAAAAGAAGTTCCTGTAATGCCCAGTCTGCAAGTCCAAACTGGCTGATAATTCTAGAAGCTACAGTTTGGCATTTAAAGGATACTAAGTTAAATGATCATTTAAATCTTCCAATAACCTACTAACAATTTCGTTAAGAAACATTTGAGCAATTAAGAGTACAGTACAAAATCAGAATACCTTGGTGAGTGTGGAGGGGGTCTGAACGCTGCCATAAGAGGCTGAAAAAGTGCCAGAGCCATCACAGTGCAGCCAAAATAGGGGTGAAAACCTGCATGCTATATTTAAAAAAAATGAATGATAGTTATAATTAGACTTTTTATGTATTTTGTTTATTTAAAAGATTTACTGCACATAGCTGTCCTACATCTTACAAACCATAAGCCTGGGAAGCTTACAAATAATAATAAAACTAAAAAACATAAAAACAGCATAAGCACCTCTAATACCCCACATAACAACCCTTGGTCTTTAAAGATTTAAAGAAGGTAGGGACCAGCTTGATCCCAAGAAGGAGGATGTTCCAAACTTCACAAGCAGCACAATCATATATTTTTTTCGCAACACACCTATCATAGAACATTAAGTTTTGGATATGCTAATTTATAAAGGACAATTTCCCATGAACAGAATCCTAGGGGTAAGGTTACAATAAACTCTCTTTGGAAATTGGGAGTTAGCTTTTCTGTAGACCAGCGGCCCACAACCTTTTGGCACCAAGGACCGGTTCCGTGGAGAGAGGTTTTTTCCACGGATCGGAGGGGGCGTGATTTCGCATGCTGCCTGCATCCTGCGGATGGGGCTTTGTTTGCGCGACCGGATTTCTGGCATGCCGTGCCCAGTAACAGTCAATGGACTGGGGGTTGGGGACCCCTGCTGTGGAGTATCATTAAAAAAATAAAGCACAAAATATAACATTACAAACTAATCCTTGATAGCTAATGCTGGAGAAATATGGAAACTTTTCAGGAGTCTACAGTTCTTGATACACCACAAGGCTGGTGTTTCGAATCTTCTAGCATTTTTATACTAAAGGTAGATCATGTATAAGCTTGATTTCAGGACACTAATTCAACTTGGGTTACACATAACTGTTTCTCTGTACAAAACACAATTGTACAAGATGTTTTTGTTTTGCCAGAGCATGAGCTATAGAATTCAGGTATTTTTCTGTTTCATTCCCTAACCTTAACTATATTAGTACCATTCTGAGCTAATTCTGAAAGTCAGAGTCGCATTCTAGTCATAAATGTATTTTTTTCTTGCTTTTATGAAGGATGATGGTCCTCTGAAGCAAGTTGCAAGCGAACACAAAAGTCTACAAAATACTTATATTGCCATATACCTTCATGCAGCCAAATATCTCAAGACCTTTGGCACTGGATTTAATTTTGCTCACTCATATATTGTATACACCCAGGGAGAGAAAAATACGATGTCATTATAGAATACTATCTTGTTTTTAAAAAGGGGATCAGGCCAGAATACCAAGCCCTTAAAATAAGATTTAAATGGTTCTTGTTAGATTTTAAGCAGTTAATTTCAAAATAATCTCATCACTTACTTTATTCCAGCCTCCTCGATATATAAAAGGAAGAACAAAAGATACACTTGTGAGCAATATTGTTATTATCATCAAGGAACGATGGATCTATAAAAGTTATATTAAAAAAATAATGTTAAGAGATGCTAAAGAGTAGCCTATTACACATACTCTATTATCAAGAACGTTTGGCAGAAAATTCATTGGTCAAGAATAGAATTAACAAGTAAACTCTTGTATAAGGCTTTTTGTAAGGCTTTAAAAATTTGGCTATGTACTCAGGTCTGGGTCTTGGAATGTGTTAAGGCCCCCATTTCCCAGCTTTATTTTTAGTTGATTAACTATCTCAGCTCCTGAAAATATTTATTTTGGGAAATATTTATTGGTTTTAGTTGTTTTAACTGTTTTTATAGTTTTAGAATTGTAAGTCACCAGAGTCATTTACAGGCAGCTGTAGAAATTGAATAAATAATAAATAAATAAGGCAGCCCGTGAAATTCAAGGAGGTAGATGTTTTGCGCGCGCACGCGTGTGTGTGTGTGCACGCACCCACAACCTGCTTTACGGAACCAGTAAGCCTTAAGGCAGGGAGCCATGAAGAGACTATTCAGTTTATCGTTGCCCAAAGATGGCAGAGACCATGATACTGGGGTTGTCATGGTTGAAGAAATGGAATGTAGTAACTGTGAGAGGGATCTTGGATTCCTAGTGGACAATCACTTAAATATGAGCTTAGCAATGTGATGTAGCTGCCAAAAAAGCCAAAACAGTTTTAGGCTGCATTAACAGAGGGATAGAATCAAGATCACGTGAAATGTTAATACCACTTTATAATGCCTTGGTAAGGCCACATTTGGAATACTGCATCCAGTTTTGGTCATCACAATGTAAAAAAGATGTTGAGACTCTAGAGGGAGTGCAGAGAAGAGCAACAAAGATGATCAGCGGACTGGAGGCTAAAACAGGAATGGTTGCTGGAATTGGGTACGTCTAGATAATGAAGAGAAGGACAAGGGGTGACATGATAGCAGTGTTCCAATATCTCATGGGCTGCCACAAAGAAGAGGGAGTCAAGCTATTCTCCAAAGCACTTGAAGGCAGGACAAGAAGCAATGGATGGAAACTAATCAAAGAGAAAAGCAACCTAGAACTATGGAGAAATTTCCTGACAGTTAGAACAATTAATCAGTGGAACAACCTGCTTCCAGAAGTTGTGAATGTTCCAACACTGGAAGTTTTTAAGAAGAGATTGGACAGCCATTTATCTGAAATGGTACAGGGTTTCCTGTCTGAGCAGGGAATTGGACTAGAAGACCTCCAAGGTCTCTTTCAACTCTGTACTCTATTCTATTCTAAATAAATGAATAAAAAGAAATAGTAAAACATTGCTAAACATATTTTGTATACACCAATACAGAATAAAGACACTCCACAATTCGTTTTTCTCACCTGAAACCAAATCTCTTCTCCATACAGTAGAGTATGAGGCCAGACAGACTTGAAAAACCGGGCAATGATCACCCCTATGCTAACTGTAGTTATCCATCCAATAAACATTAGTGCACCTGAAAGGAAAAAGATACAAGACACTTGCTAATGATTTTAGTTGCAGTGCTGAGAAGCCCTGGCTCATAAAAGTAAGTTTCCATTTTATTTCAGAATTAAAGAAGAGCAAAAGAGCATTTTCAAGCCATTTTAGACTGTCCTTCCTCCCTTATTTATTCTACTGCAAGCTAATTTTTGCACCGTACTTTGTTGGCAGAGTTTGAATACCCACAAGATGTCCAAATGGCCCCAAAGATAATATTTCCATAGTATTTTCCTAACTTTCTCTGCAATGTTTTCTGAAGCGTTTGGAATTGAAGACAAAATAAAATAATAATCAAATCTTGAGCTATCTGACTTGTTAAGCAATGACGACTGGACCTCTTCATACAACCCCACCCCAAGCCATCGAACAACAAGAGCCCCCATTTTGCACCATACACGCATTTTGTAGTGCTTTACAAAATTGTAAAACATTAAACTTGCCATGGATCTTGATCAGGTATGGAGACCGGGATCCTCCAATATCTTTTAATGGTCCTAGAATGTTATATTTTCCATTTGTTATCAGAGGCTGTTGCTGGTGTTTGTAGATTGTATCACCTGTACCTGGGGAAACAATAGTAGATTATGCACTACCAGCAAAGGAAGAGTAAATAACATTATCTCTATGGGTGAAGACTTCAGAACAGAGATTCAGTTAGCTTCAGAGATTGGTTTCTTTATGCAGTTCCAAATTTGCTACCCAAAGCTAACCCCTAAAATGCTTCTCAGTGAAAATTAACACTTCAGTGTATTCCATGTGCTGATACTATATTGATCCTTTGTCATGGAAGAATTAACAACAGTATGCAATAATAAGATCATAATCATCAGTATGCCGTTTATCTCTGCTGTGAGCCATTTAGGTGGTGCTATGAAGTCCTATCTCAATGTCTGAAGGGGGTGGACCAACCTAACGGCTTTAGGTTTTGGGGACCCTTAATTCTGGTTACCCATTGCTGACCTGCAAGACCCTGCTCACAATCACTCACACACTCACACATCCCATGTGGATTACTCAGTGCCCTTGAAAAGTATTGGAGGCTTCAGCTAGTGCAGAATGCAGCTACATGAGTGGTTATTGTGTGCTCCTCATTCAGCACAAGTTACATCTCCACTCTGTGAGCTGCATTGGTTACAGGTTTACTTTGGGATTCAATTCAAGATGCTGATGATGATCCTTTATGGTGCAGATTACTTGAAGGACCGTCTCTCACCCATTACATCTAACTGTCTACATCTAACAAAGGCATGCTCTACATCGCAGCTACTAGGAATGCTATCTGATGGGGCCCAGGAAAAGACCTTTTCTGTTGCGTTCCACCCTTAGAACATCATCAGCCGTGGTGGCGCAGTGGTTAGAATGCAGTATTGCAGGCAAACTCTGCCCACAGTCAAGAATTTGATCCTGACCAGCTCAGCCTTCCATCCTTCCAGGTTGGTAAATTGAGGACCCAGATTGTTGATGTGTCCTGTTGGCCGCCAGAGGACTCAACAACCAATTCAGATGAGGAAGCACAGGAATGGGCATCGGGCCCAGCGTCAGGGCCATCTGAAAGCTCCAATGAAGGAATGGAGCTGTCACAGCTAGGGACAGAGGCGGAGCCTGGGCCATCCACAGCCCTCAGATGGAAAGGTTGAGACCTCCATGCCTTGAGGCAAGTGAGTCAGGAGAGGAGGATCACATGGGGCCAGTAATTGATCCGCCGGCACAGTGGAAGCTGAGGAGAACAGCGAGAGGCTATGGGGCGGTCTTTGGGGCGGAAGAGTCACTGCTGCTGACCTAGCCCCATCCTCAGTTGTGAATAAAAGGCAGGGGCGGAGACGAATAGGTGTGGCAGACAACTATTCGTCTTCCTGCTGGTCAGCCACTTGTATTTGGAACTCCTGACACTTCTCCTTGGAATTTTGCCAGTTTTTCTGCAGATCCTGTGGCGCTGGAAGTCGGAGCGCCTTCTGAGCATGGGTGTGTTTTATGTTAAACAATAGCCAGCTTGCTTGAAGGACTTTGGGCTGCAAGCATGGTGAGACTGAGAGTAACTCTAGGTATTGGGAGACCCCTACAGGGGAAAAGGGAGTGTTCGGAGACTGTGTGAAACTGCTGGCATTCCTGAAATAAAAGGAATGCTAGAGATTATTTGACGGGTCTGTTGTGTTTGGGGAGCCGGGTCAGAACAGTCAGGGGCAATATACTGACTCTGTAAACTGCTTAGAAAGGGCTGTAAAGCACTATAAAGCGGTATATAAATCTAAGTGCTATTGCTATTGCTATTCCCCCAGGTTAGTCCCAATCCTACTGGCATCCCATAGGGTCTTAGAGCAGTGGTTCTCAACCTGTGGGTCGGGACCCCATTTGGGGTCGATCGACCATTTCATGGGGGTCGCCAAGCAAGGCTGTCTGCCATTTTTTTTGTCCGCCATTTTTTTCCCCCTTTTCCGGCGGGTGCCTTACCTCCCTTGGGCTGGGCCAGCTGGTGGTCGGCCTGCTCCGTCTCTGCCGCTTGCCAGCTACGCCTCGGCCGGCGCAGGGAGCGGAACCACGCATGCGCGGCACTCCTGGGCAGGGAAAGTCCTCGACTTACGACCGGTTGGGTAGTCCTCGACTTATGACCGGTTTAGTCCTCGACTTACAACCAGTTGGGGTCGCGGCATTAAAAAGGTTGAGAACCACTGTCTTAGAGACTTGGTTTTGCTATTAGTCTGGGGAACTGGGTATGGATAGTGCCTGTACAGTGGCTATGTTGATTATTGATAATGGATTTTGGTATGCCTTGAATATGAACTGAATATGGTTTTCATATTGTTCTTACCACTTAAGGGTTTTTTTTATTGGTTGGAGTTTTTTATATTGCTTTCAATTGCTGTGAACCACACAGAGTCCTTTATTTGAAATGAGTGGCTATATGAATTGAAATAATATATAAATATAATTATGAATCTCGTTTATGGCTAAGATTTATTTTCTAAATGTGTTAATTTACAACTCTCAGCTTAATTTGCCAGTTAAAAAAAAATGCTGTTTGGGAATGAGGAGAGTCATAGACCAGGATCTCTAGGGCAAACAGCCTGGACATTTCTTAAAAATGAAGTATGAAGTCTTGTGATAAATTTCCATTGCTATTCATATCATGAATCTGCAATGGAAAGATCACATATGTACCAATAGAAATAAGGAGGGGAAAGGGGCTTATTTAGTTTCATATTGGTGGCAGTTGCAAGCATGATATAACTCTACAAAGTACAAATCCAGCATGTTAAAGATTCAAGGAAGAGAAATGTTGCCTTATCTGTACCTATATTATTAAGACTATTCCACAACCCCATAAAGATTCATCATGAATCAAGAAGTATTTTTCCTTCTCCAACCTAAACATTAGCTGGCAACAGGTGAAGACCAAGTAATGCTTTGAATTTTGCATGAAAAATATGCCTGATGTGAAACTTAATTTAATATTCAGACAGATTTTTTCCTACAGGCATTTTACCTGCACTGATTTCACCATCAGCCAGAAATATGTAATAGTTTGCATCCAGATTATATCTTCCCGTAGAAGCTGGAAGGTGAATTCTTCTTCTGAAAGAACACTGGATAAGGCCATCAGCCAGTCTCCAAGATATATTCTCCAAAGCATTCTAAAAAAAACAGGCAATGCGGATTTAACTTTTGTGTCTCAAAAGATAAGCCAACACATATATTGTGATGGGTTCTGTCAAAACTTATCAGGCAGTTATCATTATCAAAGAAAGAACATACCAAACCAAACAAGTTTACTTAGCTGGATTTTATGAAGCAGATAAGAAATATTTAGCAAGGCAAGTCATGGCTACTTCCCATTAAAAGTTTAGTGACCTTCTCAAATGTCTTCAGCACCATCCTGCTGACGTATAAAAACTTCAATCCTCTTGAAAACTAAAAGGCCAACATATAACTAGAGTGATCATTTTTCAGCAGCCACTTCGAGGCTTGCTAAGCCTATTGATCACCTAATTAAACAAAAACTGGATCCTTCAAATGAACCCCGATATTGAATCATTCAAAAGATACTTGAAACCTTAAATTAGAGTTCTGTTATCATCTAGTGTCTTAGGTTTTCTGCAATACCAGTAAAAGCAGGTATACGCTGGACTTCTCAAGAATGGAACAATGGTTTGTCTAATATTTATTGTTGCAAAATAAAGCCAGCTGAATGCAAACACCTTGCTCAAACTGGGGCCTAAAATGTTGATACTGCATGTAATTTTTCTTCTGAGATATACTAATCTGTGTGTAGAATAATAATCTTATCTATCTACGTTTTATAAAAACAGTTGAAGAAAGGCCATATATATTGCTTTGTTAAGCAACACAACAATTACACAGAACTGTACACAGACATATTAAGTTTAGAATTCTCCATTACATAGTACTCTGCAAAATGCATAAAAATAACTGCAGAGGAGAGTCAGAGACAGGATAAAGTTTCCCTTTTAAACAGCTTCTTTAACTTTGCAGTTGTTTTCCATGATGTAAGATTTCATACAGCGGTCCGGATTCTGTATGGCAAAACAGGACATAAATCACGAGTCTCCGTGGATTTTGTTAGCGAGACAACTTATCCTGACATATGTTTTTACTGTGCAAGATATTTCGTAACAGCATCATTCAGAGTTCAACCCTGTAATAACATGAAATTATAACGGTACCTTCGAGTCAAATTCTGGATAAGATCGCCCAGCCAGGAAAGCTGTCTTGAGGTCAGCAGAATGATCATTATTAATGCACAGATATGCATCATCACCACCACCCTGGAAATAAGAGAGATTATTAAACTATTTTTTCATTTTACTTGACAAGTCTATATGGTCCATATTCAAATTTAGAGTAGGTTAATAATTTTTTTTAAAAAAAACAAGTTTTATTGATTTTTTATTTTTACAACAATGTGCTTGAGAAACAACGGGGTGACAGGGTAATCAATTATCCAAAAGCAAAATCATACATATATAACTCAGATTAAATCATTAAAGACTCCCTCTCTATTCCCTCAAATAATATAATATATTCAAATTAATGTATTTTTCAATAAAGTTCAATCAATCAAAACAACCATCAATAACATTTCATCTCTATAAATCCAAATCCTGTTTTGAGCTTTACTATTTACAATTGCCATATTCCAATTTGGTTTAGATAAACATATTATTAACACTTCGGGTGTCTCTCCTTTCCCTTTTTTCCGTAACGTAATCAGTAACTCATTTATTAATATCATTTCTTCTTTTATCAAAAATCCCTCTTATTCTCCTTCCATTACAAAATAGCTATCCTTCCTAAAAACAAGAATATTACTCCAAAAAATACATTTCTACTCTATTTTAAATCTATAATCTATCAATCAATCAATATCTATGGAAAAACTCTTGAGTAGGTTAATAATTTAATGCAGACTCCCCAAGTGGTATCCTCTAAACATGTTACACATTAGGCATGCACTTAACATGCTAGCTGTAGTTTAGTCTTTTCATAAATTGGTAATCTTTTTTTTTATTTCTTTCTACCCAGAGCCATACATTTTTTAAAAAAACAGTGCTGCTTATCACTTGTGGCAATATAGCATTTCTTGTGACCTTCATAACAGCATTGTGCAAGTATGATTTTAAAAAAGGCTTGAATTTTGAGAACCATGAGAATTGTACATTCATCTACAAGCATTGCTAATTGTAAATTAATCTGGAAGGTTGGAGAAGGATGAGCTAGAAATACATCTCACTGAGGTTTTATTAAGTAGACCCAAGGCTATGGGAATCATTGCATTCCACCTTAAAGGACAAATACAGGTGGCTGAAAAATCGGGTAGAACATAATGCAGGGATTCATTAAAATAATTTAGGGACAAATTCAGAAGAAATTAGCCTTAATTAAATACGTACCACTGGTCCAATAAAAAAAGGGAGTATGCCAGAAATTATGCAACATTTATCCTATTATCAAGGGTTAAGAATTTTCTCAGACCTTGCATGTTAATACATGACCTCCCATAATTGCCTGGGAATTCCCTCTTTCCCATATTTTCAAATATCAAAACTCACTGCAAGATTTCCAGTAAGAATGCTAGAATCTGAGACTTCGTGATTGCACAGGATTTTGACACAAGTTAAATGAACGTGTTCATTTAACTTGGACAAAATGCAACTAGAATAGATCCTGTGCTACCCATGGACAACCTTTTTACTATCCCTGCCTAAAATATCTAACGACTGCTACAAGCTATTTCAGAAAGCCATTACATATCACGGGCAGTTCAATAAACAAAATTATATAGGAAAGATTTTAATGAACACCACCTTTTTGCTCATGTATTTTGTAGAAATTACCCATGTTAAAACCATAATAAATGACCATTGGAGTAGCCTCAAAAGGTGCTACCATTTTTCCAGAGGTCAGAGGACTTACTAACCATCCATTGATCATGAGATAATGCAAAGGCAATATAGCCTTCACTGGGACCGCTCATTTCAATCCATACTGAGTCATTATCTTGCTTGAAGGAGACAAAGAAGCAATTGTTGGCTTTAGGGTCACAGTGTGTTGGATTTCTCACACAGAACTTGCGATCTCCACATTCTGAAGAATTGAACTAAGGAGACAAGAAGCAAAGTTGTATTTCTCCACATACCACTGCTTGAGAAATAGGGAATTTTCAGAGCATCAATAATTCAGTTATAGGATTTAAGGGAAATACATTTCCCACAACAATAAAGTTCTATCTATTGATTAAAAATTGTGGCCAAAAATACCTTTGTGGCTCTAGGCAGAAGAACCATTTTATAGATGAGAAATAACAGGCAAATACAAATGCCTAACTAATCATGTGATACTAGAATTTTGTTACGGGGGAAGTAAAATAAAATAAAGAGAACAACTGGTGGCAGAGGGATACAGTTGTCAATGGTTTTCTTACTTACAACTAATGGAAAGATTTAAAGTAGATAAATAAGTTTATGGTTTTGTAAGACTGAATTTGAAATAGAATTGCATACAGATGATGAACGTGTAATTGCTAAAATGTATAAACTTTTGTTGAAATTTGAATCATATTGTGAAGTACACGGGTGATACCGCAGTGGTGGGTCTTATCCAGGACGATAATGAAGATGCTTATAGAGAGGAAGTAAAGGCTCTGGTGGACTGGTGCAATAAAAATAACCTGGTTCTGAATGTTAATAATTTTAGAAAGAACCGGCATAGTCACACTCCACTTTGTATCAAGGCTGCAGCTGTAGAGGTGGTCAGCAGTATTAAGAATCTGGGGATGCAGATATCTAACAATCTGACCTGGTCTCTTCATACATCCTCTTTAGTGAAGTGTGCAAACCAGTGTCTGCATTTCCTGCGTCGTATGAGGAGAGCACATCCATACTAGACTGTGTTGTTTCTCTGTGTCATATATGTGTGTGTATGTGGGTATATGCATAATCTTTTGTCATGATTATGTAGTGTATATTGGAGGTGGTTACCCTTTGAGAGTTGAATGCAACGAAATTTCATTTTAATATATGCTGATTAAAGCTATTCTATTCTATTCTATTCTATTCTTCTATTCTGTTCTGTTCTGTTCTGTTCTGTTCTATTCTATTATTCTATTCAGCACCCCACAAAATAGTTAGAAAATTTCAAATACACACACCGATTCAGTAGTTTTAATAATTAATATACAATTGAGACCAGAGGTTTTTCTTTTGGGATTGAAGGACAAATCCCAATCAGGACTTTGTTCTTATACAAGATAATTGCTGCAAGATTATTGTATGCACAAAGATGGAAAGATTCAGCATTTTACCCACAATAGAGGAATGGTTGGTAAAGATGATGGAACTTGTTGAGATAGCTAAACTGACTCGAATATGAAACAAGGAAAAACAGAACCTATTTATTGCTGTCTAGAAACCCCTTATGGGCTTTTTGCATAAAACAATAAAAAGCTTATAATTTAAGGTTTAATTAATTAAATTATAGAAAGAAGAGTTATGCTATAACCATAGAGGTAAATTTGTAACTGTACTGATAACATTTATTATACTTACATATTGTAATATTATATTATATTAGTACTTATAATTAGAAAGTACTACTTTATATCTTTTTTCTTTTCTATTTTTCTTTCTTTTTTGTTGCACTTTTAGCTTTGTTAGTTTGTATTAGTTTTTAATCTTTCTTTTAAAAAATGTTAATATAAAATTATATTTTGAAAAATAACATCTTTTATCTTTTTATATGTAATTTAATCAGTTTTGTTTTGTTATTTCAATTCATTTCTTTTCATATTAAAGTATTTTTAAAAGTTCATTTTTCTGGTAATTATTATGCTCTAAGCCTCAAATCCACAATTCTGTTGAAGCCAGATACTTGACATCACAGCAATAGAAGTCTATAATTTAGGATGCACACTACAATTACAGTCTTATCCTAGTCAGACACTTAATTGTACAATATAGATACATTCATTCTATAGAACAATTAAAGGCTTTTTAAATCAACGCAAAGTGCTCTAGTAATTACTAACTCTATACAGGTTAAAAATGCACAGGGGGGCATTTTTTTAAGAGGACAGAATTTTTTTCATTCTGCAAAAAGTCTAAAAGAAATTATTTTTTCAAAGGAAAAAATTAGTCAGCCATAACAATCATCTTGCCATATAAATTTAGATAGATAGATGGACAGACAGACAGACAGACAGACAGACAGACAGACAGACAGACAGACAGAGTCAATACCTAACCCACACCTTAATCACTTCCCATTTAAACCACAACATTTGAACCACTCTATATGGACATATGCTTAAAGACCACCTGGAAACTTCAACCGGTCCTGTATGTAGCAGTGTGTGCAGTTCTGAATGCTCCATATTTTGCCTGTGTTACACTACTGCTGTGCGAGAGCTGCACTGGCTTTCAGTTTATTTTGGGGTGCAATATAAGGTGATAGTTTTTACCTTTAAAGCCCTGCATGGTACAGACCGTGTAATTTAAGATATTTCCTCTTCTCAATGACATCTAACCCTCCCTCCATATTGGATAAGGATGAGTGTGCCCCAGGTCCACTTTTTAAATGTTGCCATCTGGTGGGACCTAAAAACTAGCTCTTTCTGTAGCGGCACCTCATATATCAGACAATCTCCCCTTGAGTTATGGAGGGTCCCTACAATCTCTGCCTTCCAGAAGGTTGTTAAGACCTGGCTTTTCTCTCAGGTGTTGAGCTAGGATGGGAGATAAATTCAGCATTTCTGTTCTTGAGATGCAGTGTTAAAAGTACCCGATGACAGGTTAGAATTTTAATTTTGTTGTATTTTTTTGTTATTTGTATACTTGGTTGTTAGCCACCTAGGGTTGTTTTATATAAGGTGAGCAACCATATAAAATTTTAAGTAACTGAATATAAATGGAAAACTCTAGAATTTTTAAATGTATAACTAATAAATGATAAACTGAGAAGTATAAGATGTAAATAACTGTCCTAATCATTTTATGAAGAGGAATCAATATTATGGCATCACTGCTGGAAAGTGCCTGTAAGTGCACATGTTGATAGTCCAATAAAATGTTACTGGATATGGCCAACAATATAATTAATATAATTAAGTTACAATTTGCAATTCAAAGTAATACATCATTTGAGCAAAATCTGTCCAATCAAAATCTTTATATATGTTTAATAAAGGCTGTTTTATTTTTATTTTTTGTATGCCTTCAGACTTACTTATAGGAGAGATGAAAACAAACAGACCTCTTTTGGTAGGGAAGCTTATAGCCTTGGAGCAGCATCTCTCTTAAATTCCTGTCATATTGATCTCTTATTATGGCAGGAAAGAGAGAAGACCCTTCCCCAAAGCCCTGAACTCCTGTCAGCCCCATCTGGAAACATGTCATTTTGCAAAGAACCTGTTTGCATATGACATATGCTATTATGGGCTCTAGACAGCATTTTGAATTGTATCCAGAAACAGATCAATGGCCACATCAATGAACTTTCCAACTTTCTAAAGGGAGCCCCATACAGAATGCACTACAGTAATACAGTAATTCAAGCAGGACATAATTAAGGCATGCATTGCTATGGCCAGATCCAATATCTCTAGGAATGCATGCAGTTACGCACTAGATTTAGCATGTAAGTATACTTCTAGCTGTTACTGAAAGCTGAGCAAATTCAGGCTTAAACAAGGAATGCTCCAAAGTGCAGATCTGAACCTTTGAGGAATTTGTAACCTTGACTAGATTGAATATGCTGAGCTGCATTTTTTCCATTAACTTATTTATTGGGTGTAAGTGCTGCTCTGGGTGCAGCTGAGTGAGTACCCGACATTTGTAAATCAAGTTAAATGTAAAAATTGCAGTATCTAATAAAAATGCAAAATCTTCATAATAAAAACATCTAAACATGCCAAAGCTCTAGACAGTCTCTCCCAGTTTTATTCATTTACTTATATTAAAAAGTTGTATGCTGCAGTTCAAAGTTTGGGCAAATACAAAATCACAATTAAAATACTGAGATAGGATCCCCAAACATCACCCCTTAAAGCCATTCTTCCAGGAAGGGCGTATAATTTATCAAGATACATTAAATATTGTATGCCTCCTAACCACTCTGAATCTTGACCCAAAAGGGTTTAAGAAATTCTCTCCATTCCAAACATTTTGGAGCCAAGATAAAAATTATACCTTCCAACCAGTAATTGTTATATTTGTAACTGCTACAAAGAAGTTTCGAAGTCATTTTTTTAGCTATTTTTCTTTCATGCTTTTTTGTTATTCATTTTTATTTTTACCCTTTTATAATCTTTTTCTATTTCTTCTTCTATGTTTCAGTAGCTTTTAAACTTTGTTTGTAAAATCTTCTTTTAATAAAAATATTTATTAAGAAAAGAAACAAGAATCCAAGAGAGTTCCATAATTTTTAAAAGTGGGAAGTAATCCTGAGAAAAGCATTTTAAGAAACACTGATATAGAGAATGCTTATGATAAAGCAAATAAGATTTTGCACAAATATTTATTCATGGAATGTATAGACACCTCAATACATTAGCAATACTTTAGGTGTTTTGCTATGTGTGTAAGAAAATGCAGCAATAACAATAATAACAATCCATTAGCTCATTATTACTTACTGGTTGGCTTAGGGAAGAGACAGGCAAGGATGTTGGAATGGCCCAATTAGAAGGCATTATTGATGTCGAAGGAAGTATACTAGGCTGAGAAATCTTAGGACCAGGAATTTTTACCCAATAGATACTGAATTTTTGTACAACTGTGAGTCTGTGAAGAGACAAAACCTGTTAGTTACAATTTGAACTGTAAAGATACCCTAACACAGACGTACAATAACTTTTAAAAAAAAAATCCCACCAAACTTCCATCTAAATTAACGCAGAAAATTCAGCATTTATTCCTCTAAGAAGGCTACCCATTCCTGGGTTATTTAAATTTTAATTCCTAATTAAAAAGCGGTAGGAGGATTAACCATACCCAATATCTGACAGAGGCAAAAGACCCAAGTATTTATACAGATTTATAATAATTGTTAAAGGAAGAGACCATATCCAATCTTTGTGGTATTTATTCTGCAAATATTTTGAGTTTTTTTAAGTGTATTGCAGGTGATCAATCTACAGAGCAGCTAAACTAATGAAAAAAATTTTCCTGATATCTACATACTATTTATACTAGTCTTCAGACTAAATAAAAGCTCTGAGACAGCTCTTAATTACCTAGGAGCAGTGGTTCTCAACCTGTGGTCTGCAGACTTTGGCAACATCAGAATACAGAATAACAGAATGGGAAGGGACATTGGAGGTCTTCTAGTCCAACTCCCTGCTCAGGCAGGAAACCCTATACCATTTCAGACAAATGGTTGTCCAATCTCCTCTTAAAAACATCCAGTGTTGGAGCATTCACAACTTCTGGAAACAAGTTGTTCCACTGATTAATTCTTCTAACTGTCAGGAAATTTCTCCTTAGTTCTAGGTTGCTTCTCTCCTTGATTAGTTTCCATCCATTGTTTTTTATCCTGCTTTCAGGTGCTTTGGAGGATGGGTTGACTCCCTCTTCTCTGTGGCAACATCTTAGATCAGTGGTGGCAAACCTATGGCACGTGTGCCAAAGGCGGCACTCAGAGCCCTCTCTATGGGCATGCGCACCGTCGCCCCAGCCCTGCCTCCCCCAATGGCCCCCTCACCAGCAGCTCCCCCGGAGAGCCTCCCCCGGTTGTGGCCCGTACGGAGAAGCGCAGCCAAGGACATGGCAGCTGGGCAGCAGGTACAAGACTCCACCCCGTGCCCCGCAGCATCATCTGCTGCATGGCCGCCATGATGCTGCAGGGCTGCCTGGGCAATCTGCCGCAGCAGGCCATGGAGGCAGTAGGTGGCCCTGCGGGGAGCGGGGCAGGGCAGAGTGGGCGGGGCAGGGGGCGGAGTGGTTTTTGAGCACTCGGTGTCTAAAAGGTTCGCCATCACTGCCTTAGATATTAGAACACTATTATGTCACCCCTAGCCCTTCCTTTCATTAAATTAAATATACCCAATTCCAGCAACTGTTATTTATATGTTTTAGCCTCCAGTCCCCTAATCATCTTTGTTGCTCTTCTCTGTACTCTTTCCACAGTCTCAACATCTTTTTTACATTGTGGTGACCAAAGCTGGATGCAATATTCCAAGTGTGGCCTTACCAAGCCATTATAAAGTGGTATTAACACTTCACGTGATCTTGATTCTATCCGTGTTAAAGCAGGCTAGGGCTGCGTTGGCTTTTTTGGCAGCTGCAACACACAAGCAAAGGCTTGAAAAAAATGTTATGATTTAAATTCTGAGTTACGACTTGGAGGTCTGTGGCCATGGTCTGTGGCCACAAAAGGTATTTAAAGGGGTCCATGGTGAAAAAAAAAGGTTGAGAAACAATAACCTATAGGGTTCAGTCTTGGTTCAATTTGAGCTGAGGCTATTGCCTGCTGCTTTGTACGAATAAGACAGGGATTCCTTGTAACATTGATATGTAAAACTGAAAAGTTATGTAGGACTTTATCAACATGATATTCAATTCAGAGATTTGCATATTATTTTACAGGCCATACATATTTTTAAAGGAATACAGCCAAAGAGGAAAAATATTTTATTACACTTACAGAAATTGTATTTTCTTTGGTGCATCTCTAGGAGCAATCCAATAAGCATCCATATGGTTTTTCTTAGATTTACTGGTGTGACTAACAGCTGAGTTCTACAAAATACAGAAGCCCCATTTTAGCATTATATAATGGCTGGATTCATACATGGCACTTTATCAAGCCATTATATTAACAATGGCTTTCTGAATAAGCCATAACCACTTGAGTGCCAACAATGCATCAAGTCAGGAAGCAAAATATATCACTTAGTAAATGTATGAACCAACTCAATAATTAGGTTTATAAAGCATACTAGACTTCAATCTAATAATTCATGATAACTGGTTCACAAATACTAAGCCATAAACTTAGTATGTTGTATGAATGCAACTTTACAGTTTAAAACCAGAGTTTATTGTTTAGTATTATACATAAACCCAATTGTGACAGGCACAGCTTAAAATAAAATAGACAGCCATTAGCAGAAACCTAACAAACCACTTATCATGATGTAAATCCAATTATTGCAGTGCCAAACAACTTTACTGGAACAACTAGGATTAATGTATGAGCAATCCCATATGAAAGGCAGTCTGAGTTCCTACATCATAAACCATTTAAGGCAATGAATTTATGCATCAGGAGTTTTATTCTGCCTAAAAATGGATTATGTTCTCAAATGATTTACCTCAGCTTTTAATTTTAAAGATTTCAGTGGCTCTCTACTGTTACATATTTTAATATTTCCTTTTAATGGTTCTTTTATTTGAAGATGCTTTTACTATTTTATTATATTTTCATATTATAGCCTCTAGCCTACATATTCTCAGGCAGGCCATTCCTACAAAGAGTTGTGTTACTAAGAGGCAAATTGAGGAAGCAGCAAATCATGTTTCATTTTAATATCCCAAAGAAGGGACTGCCTACCATCTATTTAAAATTTCAGCAACTTGAGGATTTATTTGTTATTATCTGAACCCACAAGAAATCCATCAATATTATCCATTTTGCACATTGCTCTAGAATTTGAATATGTCCATCAGAAAAATGCAGAGGTATTCTGAAAAGTTAACTGATATTTTTAAAAAAGCATATAGGGAAGGATATATAAAAGCATGGCAATACGGTCTGCTAACAGCTACTAACTTATTCTGCATCAGATAACCAGTAGAGGGAACCCTAATATTTAAACATAATCTATAAAGGAAAAATTATTACTAAAGCATTGTTAGTGTTGATTAATTCCAATATAAAACTGATGCAAATATAAAAGAGTAATTTAAAGCAAGAGTGTTAAGAGTGCTTCCTACATTATTTACTGCTCAAAATCTAGTCAAAATTGGCTGGCAGAAGCATTTTCAAGATTTCCCTACCTTTACGTGTCCACATTTAAGGAGCTGAGATCTTCTCCGATCAGCTAATGCAAAAGAACCAATGGCCGGGTCTTCCAAGCGGTCAGCATTGCGAGCTTGTAGCAAAAAGCCTTCAAACGTAGGCCCAGAAAAACTAACTAAAATCAAGAATTTGAGAAAAGGAATGGAGATGAAATCTCAGTTTATTCTGGCAACAGGAGCAGGCCTCAAATCCTGCATTTCGTAAACTTGTCAACTGCCAAGTAGGTATGTGTGGACTTCAACTCACAGAATTCTCTTCAATGGCTATGCTAGCTATGGGAATTATAATACAACTAGAATATATTTAAAATACAATGTAAAACCTGGAACAATGTTACCTTGTCATTTTATGTTTACCACATCATTTGAATGTTATATAGTCACCCTTTTATTTATTTATTTATTTATTTATTTAAAAACCAGACACTATAATCTGAAACAAACTTCAGTTACAGAACCTGAATTAAGATAGACAAGATGGCAGCTGCCTAGAATGGTAGCATGGTAATTCAGAAAACACTCTTTGAAAAATTTATGTGCCAAGAAAGTAAAAGTGACTTAGTTATCCTAGGCTTCCTCTGGAAACAATCCATCTTTTAAGAGTGGAAAAAACAGTAGAACCTATTATGAATGTTGTTTATAGTTTATACTCTTGCATTAGGAACTCAAACTGGGCCCAATAAGTCATTCCAACTCACTAGGGAAAGCTAACCTATAACCAGCATTTCAACTACATCTCTGAAGGAGACAGCAGTGAAGAAAAAAAAATATTTGTCAAATTTGAATGGCTGTCCATCCTACAAATAAAATAAATAAAATAAATAAAATAAATAAAATAAATAAAATAAATAAAATAAAATAAATAAATAAATAAAATAAAATAAATAAAATAAAATAAAAAATAAAATAAATAAAATAAAATAAAAAATAAATTAAAAAATAAAATAAAAAATAAAATAAAAAATAAAAAATAAAATAAAATAAAATAAATAAAATAAAATAATAATCTATGTGCAGCATGCAGCATAATTAAAAAAGTAAATATATAAATGTTCATATTAAAAAAGTATACTTAGTCCACGAGACTTACGACCAAAATTGAGCCCAAAATTTCTGTTGCTAAGGGAGACATTTGTTAAATGAATTTTGACCCATTTTACAAGTTTGCTTGCCACAGTTATTAAATGAATCACTGCAGTTGTTAAGTTAGTAACTTGGCTGTTAAGTGAAGCCAGCTTCCCCATTGACTTTGTCAGAAGGTCACAAAAGGGGATCACATGACCCAGAGACACAGCCAATCATCATAAACATGAGTCATTTGGCAAGCATCTGAGGATACTGCAATGGTGATAAGTGTGAAAAATGGTTATAAGTCACTTTGAGGATACTGCAATGGTGATAAGTGTGAAAAATGGTTATAAGTCACTTTTTAATGCCACTATAACTTTGAACGCCACTAAATTAAACATATGTAGAGGACTACGAACATATAACAAGCACAAAAACATGAGAAGATGATGTTAGCACCATAAGAGGCGCCGTGGCAAAAATTCATACCTTTCACACAATCTCCTGGCTTAAATTCTGTCACATTCACCTCAATGGTGTGCTTGGGAAATTTCTGAGGCGATTCCCCATGAAAAGGCAACATGGAGTCACAGGATTCGTATACTTTTCCATTTGGGTAACCAGCTGATTGATCAGAAAGGCAGGCGAGCAGCCAAGCAATAAAAGTTATTCTGGAAGACTTCATCTACCAAAACAAATTAACAGTGAACATCAGAGAGCTGCTGACATTCATTCCTTTACATTTTCCAAAAGCAGCCTTGCAGTAACCTTGGTCTTTCAAAGTTTAATCCCAATCTCTTTCCCGAATCAGAACAATTGTTTTCATTCATCTCCAGAATTAAAAGGCCATGGGTTATTCTGAACTTGGACCAACATGTATGTTTTATCTGAATACAAACTACTAAAACCTACTGGGCTACATATAGAAGAGCTTGCAAATGAACAGGTTTTGCATGCCCCTACTAGTGTACAACCCTGATCATTCTCTGTAGTCTCTCATTAACCAGCACCACCATAGTAAGGCCCAGATAAAATGAGACAATATAAGTCACCTGCTCAAAGACAAAGAATAAGAGATGATTTCTCAGATAATAACTTCTGCTAGGAACAGACCTTTACTACAATATAATAACCTATACAGGTAGTCCTTCACTTATGACTGTGATTAAGCCCACAATTTTAGTTCTATGTTGTGATGATCATAAAACAGGTCATCATGTGACTGCACATGATTTTACGACATTTTTTTGAGGTGGTTGTTAAGCAAATGCAGCAGTTGTTAAATGAACACAGTGGTTGCTAAGCGAGTCCATTATTTGTCACGGAGCTTTTTTTCCGGAAACTGGAAGTAAATGCCAGTTTCTGGAAAGAAGTTTTAAATTGCAATCACATGACTGTAGGACGCTGCAAACCGCCATAAATGTGGATCACTTACCAAGAGCCCAAAATGCAGTCATATGACCACAAAGTGACCCTGGACATTGGAACTTCAAATCCAGGTCATAAGAGCTTTTTCAGGGTCCACCATAACTTTGAATGGTCACTAAGCAACCAGTTGTAAATCAAGGGCCACCTGTTATTCTTTTCTTCTGGCCAAGGAAGACTTTATTATTCTGCTTTTCATAAGGAAAGGAGACATTATCCTCACTAGAATCCTGATGGATAAACTGGGCCAGGGCTAGGCAACCTTGGCTCTTTTATGACTCATGGACTTCAACTCCCAGAATTCCTGAGCTAGCTATGCTGGCTCAGGAATTCTGGGAGTTGAAGTCCATGAGTCATAAAAGAGCCAAGGTTGCCTACCCCTGAACTGGGCCAAGAGACAGTCACTGGACTAAGATTCCCTAGAGCGCTTCATGTCCAATTGTTTTTTTGTAGTAAATTCTTTCCAGTTGGTTTCATATTGATTCCTTAATTCAATATGCCCACTTTCTTCCTTCACTCCCCCATGTTGCAAGATATTTATTTATTCATTTCTTTGCTTTCATTTTGTTAAATTTAAACAACCTGATCACTCTGGATGGTTTACACTTTAAAGAAATATAAAATAGAGAAAAAGAATCATGCACATTCAGAAAAAAAATGCAAAGCACACCGAAGAGACAACTTACAGGGGCTTTAAACCCACCCTGCCCCAAGGTCTGGGATTACACCACGTTTTCAAGGGCTTTTGGAATATCATCAGGGTGGAAACAGATGGGTCTCTGGGGTGATGTAACAAAGAAGACATTCTTCTTTGATCCCCATGGATGACAGTTTAATCAAAGAGACTTGGAAAGTACATACTCTGCCTGATCTTTCTGGATTAATAGCCCACAAGCCACTACTTATCCCCACTTTAAAATTTGAGACTAGACACATTGTGATTTCATTCTCTTTGGGTCCTCATAATCATTTCTTTCAATGTTGTAATTATCGCCAGTGAGCAATATTAAAATCCTATGTTCTTTCAACCTCAGTTTAGAATACTCTACCCCAATCTAATATCCTTAACTATCATCCAAGACAGAATAACCTACTGTCTGAGGTCTATTAGATTTGGAGTTAAATGCAAATTGCAGTTTAAACATATATTTCCATTCATGTTTTAATATAAAGACAAACCATCATTATTCCAACTAGTGGGAAATGCTTACACACCTGAAGCATACATTTAGAATGTAATAACCATTGTTGTTTGATATTTTTTTTAAATGTAGATGTTTTTCAAGAAATAAAGATTTAATGAAGAATGACACTTGAGTTTTGGCATTAATTTAGTTGACATTCTGCTTTAAAATGGAATAGACTATTTTACTTCCTACTTTACCTCTTTCACTGCAGATTACATTTAATTTTTTTAAATACCTTTTCTCCCCATTTTTACCATAAATTAAACAAATATTACCTAAAGCAGTTACCAACAAGACCTGGTAATGGCTAAGAGCACAAAAGTTGAAGAAAGAGTCAGAGGGGTCAATTTGGGCTGCACAAGACTAAGCCTTAAGAACAAATGCACACAAGGCCACAATTGAGATGACAGCAACAGGCAACAAATACCACCTCTATGAAGAAGCTGAAGAAACAGCAGATCACCAGGTTAACTGCTGCAAGAAGAACACACAGACTGACTACAAACAACTGCACGACAAAGTAAAAACAATGGTGCACTGAAATATCTGCAGTGAAATACCACTTCCTCCAAGCATGCTCTTGTCACCTCCCGCCTGGACTACTGTAATGCCCTCTACATGGGGCTCCCTTTGAGGAGCACCCGGAGGCTTCAAATGGTCCAAAATGCGGCCGCGCGGGCGGTGTTGGGAGGGACTCGTCGCTCCCATGTGACACCGCTGCTGCGCGAGCTGCATTGGTTACCAGTGGCCTTCCGGGTGCGCTTTAAGGTAT